GACTATAGCCCATGGCTTTGATCGATTTTGGACCATTTTCACACTTTTTACGATATGTGCATTATGTAAGGATGCAAAAAGGTCATTTTTGCCATATTCATTCAAAAAGCATGAATTGTAGGCTATGGCGTTCATCGTCTTTTACACCAGTTTTCTGATATGATGCTTTATGTGACTCTAAAAAGGTCATGTCTTACCATTTTGTTACAATTTCACCGCTTTTCCAATATCATTTACTTTGGATGCAAAATAGCTCATTTTTGGCAATTTTCAAGTAAAAAGCATGAACTATAGCCTATGGTTTTGATCGTCTTTGCACCATTTTTGCATCATTTGCATAGCATTATTATTCTATATATATTTTGCTTAACAAACCCTTTACTACGGGCAACTGAGCCAACTAACTGGGTTTTTTGTAATTAAACAAATTCGACCTAATTCAGAATGATCTTGAGAAGATTTTTTATCTGTTTGTGAAGATGTTAATAAAACATAAGAATGAGTAGCCTGTGTAGCCTGTGTAGCCTCGATATCCGAATCGTTTTAACATGGTTCGCGCTTATGTATGACCCAATTCTTGGATGTGTTTGGATGGCTTAGACTTTTCTATTATTGTTACCTCATTGGCTTATGGCAGAACTCTGCAGCTTATAGTAATATGCAATAGTATGTAAATCATGTTAATTGATGCTGGTCTGCGCTGACTTACGACGCCATTCTTTAATCTGATTCGACGGTCTTCGTGGGTTAATGGCACCAATTCTTCTCTTGCCCATTACCCCCTGTCCACCTATTAGTCCCGCCTGGACACGTCAGATTGAAAATATCTGCACTGATCTGATAGGATGTTATGTAATACTTAAACACTTCCCATGGTCTTTTATTTTGCTGTGATGGCTAGATGTCCACATAGCGCTATCATAGAGTCTGCTCAAACATAATGAATAATAAGTAATTGCCGGCTACCCATAATAACTAATACATTTCCTTTGATCCCTCGAAGGTGATGATGTTACAGTGATATGTAATCAAAATGATATGACTGTCTCTCTTCGCAAAGAATTTATCCCGGACTTCTACATGGAGGATCTCAGTTTGCTCGATTCGACGTGTGAATTTAAACATGATTCAAACTACACCCACTTTCAACTAGTCATCCCATTGGTTAGTTGTGGTACTGTCAGTCAGCACACAAACACTACTATCGTATACTCCAATGTCGTCCAAAACAAGCCCATCGACAAGAATGTGGTAATCAACCGACTTCCCGCACTGGAGATCCCCATTCAATGCTCTTATCCAAAAAAGGTATAATAGTAAACTTGTGAGACTCTAAAAGTCACGCCATCGGCCATGTTAGTGTCACGACACCCAGAATGGGGGAAATCATTTCAACCAATTACTGCGCGCCATCATTGCTTTCCAATAGCACGGCCTGACACGTTTCTTTATTTTCGGATCTTGTGTTCAGTATAAACATTTCTCACTAAGTCCGAATCTGTTTTACGATTTATTTTATTTTCCTCCCTTCTTCAATAAATTTGCACTTCTTACTACGTTATTCCACGATTCCACGAAAAATAAAATATATGCGTATATACTGGATCATAAATTGTCGAGTCGCGTTTTATCAAACTCATTTATTTCCTTACTGACCAACCATGTTCAAAGACAAAGCAATTTTCTTGATTCTATAAGGACTTTAAGCTAACGAAGTTCTGACGTCTGAAACTTCAGTGATTTTTTTGGCGCTTCATGTTAACACAGCTCAAACTTGCTTCATTTCCAATCTTTTGTTTTTGTCATTTCTGTTCGTGTGTGACCAAAAAAAAGCTTCGTACTAACCACCTTGTTCTATGTGTTGACTGCGATTATCTAATTTACAATAGCCAGCTGAACTTTAAGTAATTTTTCGATTGACAAAAAACTAAAAACTCTAGAAGTTGTGAGGTGACAGAAATATAAAACAGTTATAATTTCACTGACAATGGCTTACGATGCGTATTCTCTGAGTGCATGTTTCATAATTGTTTTACTCAAATATTAACTCGCTCATTTACATAATTCTCCTCCATCACAGTATCGATAAAAAAGCTTTTCATTGCACATTGAAAACGAAGCAGCATAATATATATATTAGATCTACATATTACAGCGCCGTACTGAACACGATATACTATTGCAATATGAAATCAAAACACGTGATCTAAGGACCTACCGAAGACTGATTCATTTTATGAACATTCATTTTGCGTCGGCAGAACTAGCAACAGTCCTACCAACCATAATCATGATTGAAATGTTTTTTTTTTCCTTTTCTTTTCTTCCCCCTTTCCTTTACCCCTCTTTCTCCGTCTCTTGCTCTCTTTCTCTGTCTCTCTCAGTTCCTGTACAAAACACCATTACTTGTGACTCAGCCAGTTCATTGCCCACTTACGCATATCATGTGTCACGTTTTCTCTCAGATCACACACTCATCTGACGCTGTATAATTTGACTCATTGCTCGCCTACGCGCCTACTCATATTGGCTCATGCTCAATGCATCCTACAATCTTTTTTATAGAGTGTAAAAAGATAATTCTCATCAAAACGTTGCTTTTGGAAATGAGCAGATCGTATTGATAAGTGTCTAGTTTTATGTCAGTCATAACATAAATAATGACCTTTTACAATAATTGAGTTCTATTTAACTGTTTACTGAAGCTTTTACATCTCCTCACCCTATAGGTTAAGGCCTCCTACGCGGATATTGGCGTGAAACAAAGAACACTCGAATTAAAAGTAGAAGATGGTTCCGGCGAGTTTAACTTGCAAATGGGTCTTTACAAGGACGAGACGTTTGTCGAAGAATATGACGATTTTCCTGTGACTGTCCCCCTGAACGAGCGTTTATTCTTTCAACTCAACGTCGACTCGGCAGACAAAACTTTGTCAATTGTAGCAGACACGTGTTTTGCTACTCCTACTCGCTTCCCTTCCGCCCAAAATGGGTATCTTATCATAGAGGACAGGTAACCCGTCATGATGTTGTTTTTACATATCTATTTTCATTTATAGCCTTTTAAATTCAAATGCCTTAATAAAACTGAATATAATTAGTCGCGTGTTTAGGTGGCAGCTTGGAATCCTGCTGTGTCTGTCAGCTAGCACGTTAAGATAGACTAGTTATTTCCATAACGTGGTAGACAGTTTCGATGTGACTCACATTCTGTCATTTGAATCGGACCGTGAGCTACGTCATTAATTGTTTGGCTGACTCAATTAGCAGAAGAAGGTAGAGGGTGGAGGGGGATGGATGAAAACAAGATATTGTTCATTACGTATATCGCGTCACACACATCATTCGAGAAGTAAAGAATGGAACGAAACAATTGCTGTTGCATTATCGATGTTTTTTTTCTACTAAATACTGGGGCACCTCTACGAAATAGAAAGAGAAGATCAGAGAGAGATAGAGAGAAACTAAACGAAAAACGAACAACTTCATTTACCAATCTTTATATTACTAAGCAGTTTAAAACTGAAAAAATCAATATCTTAAAAAATTTAAACCACATGCTTACAGCCTACTGCGTTAAAGAGAGAAGAAAAGAAAAGATTAAACAATATTAATAAAAAGAAAATAATTCAATAAAACTATAAAGTATTCAAAGTTGAATTTTACATCGGCAAATGGAAAGGCGTGCACTGAGTAATTAATAATAAGTAAATAATTGAATGGTAAAATATTTCTTGATTTGAGTAATGCGTCTATAAAGTTATAAAGGTTTATACTTCCAATATGTTAATTAATGTGCCTTCTATTACTGAAGGCTTCATTAAACATGCAAAAGTCACAAAAACGGTATTTAAAAAGCCTATATTTTTTTACTTTATTTTTTTAAAGTTTATTTTAAATTTGTTTTCTCATAATGGCTAGCATTTAGCATTATTAAGAGTTACAATAAATAAACCCAAATACCTTACCTGATGTCCAAGGTAAAGGGAGGTAAGTCCAGGCAGGAGGGTGGTATGTCCAGGGTCGAGGTTGGAATGTACAGGTTGGAAGGTGGTTTGTCCAACTGGCGCAAGGGTAGTTAGTCGAGGGCCCAGATTTCTATGCTATTTTGATCAGACAATTAATGTGACTAATGATTTTTTTACCTATTTTCTAAACTTGCAGATGTCCTAAAGATAACACGTACCAAGCCCATCCATCACCTCCAGGGGCACAGAGGTTCAGTTTCCAGGCATTTCAATTTGTTAAATCGACAGATGTCCCATATGTGTTTATTCACTGTGAAGTGCGATTGTGTAATGCTAGCGATGCTCACTCGAGTTGTGCCATGGGCTGCGAGAAAGCGACAGACGTCAAGCAGCGACTACGAAGAGCCACCACTGAAGATACATTCAGTCTTGAGCAAGGTCCTATTGTTATATTAACTGAAGTAAGCAGGGACGTGGACCCCCTAATAACAGAACATAAGGGTAAGACAAAACTTGAACTTTAATAGTACTTTTTACTGTTCGCCTCTCTCCGCTATGGTCCGGGTTCGAGCCCCGGCTCAGACTGGATCATACGTTAGTAGAGTTTGTTTGATGTGTTGTTCTCTCCCTTGCCTCAAGGGACCGGGGTCTGGGTTCTCCGGTTTTCCTCCTTCTGTAAAAATTAACATGTGAGTTAAGTTTTGTATATTGTTAATATAGAATATAAGTGGTAGTCGTAAAATATAAGTATTCTTAAGTTTTCTGTCTCAGTAAACTCACACGCATATATGATCGTGTGACCAGCTAACTTCACATGTTACTTGATCGTGACCATTTTGGTGATGTTAAAGACTTTTCTAAAGGCTGCTTGTCTTACCTTTTAACTAAGGCACTGGAACTTTTAACTAAGGAACTGTCAGCTGCCAATCACTGAACTTCTATTTTGTCGATTTTAGACTCAACTTTCAACACGCCTCTGTGGATACTGGTTGGAATGGGATTCGTCTGTTTTCTTTGCCTCGTGGTTCTGCTCTATACTAGACGTCAGTTAACCAACATCAGGTCGTCTCACGTTGTCAAGACAACAAGATTGTAACGCCACGTGTTTTTTTTAAATAGTCATCTGAAACAACGGGTTTGTTTTGATATGATTTGATATGGGCAATTACTTCTTGGTTAAGTTGAGTAGTCCTTCAAAACTTCCCGTTCTTATGAAATCTTTATTTATTATTTCCATTGTTTCGGAAATATTTTCCCCTGTCAAAAAAGTATACAAAACGTAGGCGTAATGGCATTAATCCTCATTATCCCTAAAGAGGAAATAACATCAAAATTCGTTTCTCAAAACATATCATATGTCATGACGACACTTATCTGCATGTGTGATATAATTTAAATCATCGTTGACGTCTTTAAGGTGCCGGGTAATGTCATGACAACACATATCTGCATGTGTGATATAATTTACATCATCGTTGACGTCTTTAAGGTGCCGGGTAATGTCATGACGACACATATCTGCATGTGTGATTTAATTTACATCATCGTTGACGTCAGTAAGGGGTCGGGTAATTGAATTTAAAATGGCATGTTGCAATTCATGCGAAAATTCCGTCTACAATTATCTACGTAAGAAATGACCGCTTTAAAGCAGAGATGATGTTTAGAGTCCGATATAGCAAATTAAGGAAGTAATCTTTCCAATATGGGTGAAGCGTCTTCTCATTTCAAACAACCTGTTAATCTGTTGACTATGGACCTTTATCACGCGGCAGCCATGTTTATTCTTATTAGAATTAAACTCTTCCTTAGACCCGCGTAAGTTTATTTTCTAGCACTTTCATACGAGGCTACGCGACAAGGAGTGTATTGTTCAAACCAACATGGTTGTCGCGTGAAGAAGATCCACTATAGCTATTTCCTGAATTTTCATGATCACGCTTTAGAAGATACATCTATAGAATATTGTTTACAAAAGTTTGAAATGGGAAGATTGTACGCCAAAACTAATAGGGACAATGTGCTACGACGACAAGCTGTTTAGATGTACTTTTAAAAAACAATTTGTTAGAATTATATTTATTACATGTTTATTAGTTTAAAGCCATAGTTCTTTCTTTCTGGAACGCAGTAAGGCATGAATAAGAATAATATTTTGCGGCTCTCGTGAATTCATTACTAGAGATCAGTGAAGAGCAAAAATTGTCCTCCTTGTTCAAAAGAGGTGGTTGGATAGCCACCTTATCCATCCTTATCCCTTCAGCGTTTTATTAAAACTGATTCAAATTTAAAGGCTTATAATTTTATGTATAGAAAGTTTATCAATATCCAAAATGTTCGCTTCGAGGTTGCGCATGAGAAGAGAAATCAATATATGGACACTATTTAAGTAGCGTCACCCTGCCTTCATCAAAACACAGTGGCTGAACCCTATCACTAGTGTCTCCCTGCCTTCATCACAACCTAAATGGGGCTGAATGCTATAGCCTGTGTCACTCTATCTTCAACACTGCGAAAAAAATCTAAACCTGCTTATCACTAGTGTCACCTTATTTTTAACGCTGTGAAAAAGGGGCTGAGCCATATTACTAGTGCCACCCTATCTTCAACTGCTAAGAAGGGGCTGAGCCATATTACTAGTGTCACCCTATCTTCAACTGCGAAGAAGGGGCTGAGCCATATCACTAGTGTCACCCTATCGGCAACCCTGTGAAAAAGGGGCTGAGCCATATCACTAGTGTCACCCTATCTTCAACACTATCTTCAACACTGTGAAAAAGGGGCTGAGCCATAACACTAGTGTCACCATATATTCGTGTAAACAGAGCCTTATTATTTGTAAGCGAATGTTACATATCCCGCTCTTAAATATATATACTAAGATTACCATCCTGGAATCTCTTTAAGTAACGATGCAGATAAGAACGATAGCACTCAACGGCATGGAATGTAGAAAGGTGATAATTGTAGTATTGTTTAAACCAATCTTCTTATTGGTCGAAACACGAAAAATGAAGGAGAAGTATATTTTTTGTGATATTTAACTACTRACAAACTCCCTTTTAGTGATAAATCTTCTGTGCTTCAATACGACAGAAATTCTATGTGGGGAAAATGACAAATTTGAGGCTTTTTCTTTCTATTGTTTTTGGGTATTGTGATTGGTTGAACACCTCAAACTCAAAAGTAAACGTCTTAAGAAGCTGCGACTTTTAGTTCATATTTTTTCACAAACATCTCTCCATAGGTTGATACATCTCCAGTAGAAAATCTCAAAATTCTGATGTGGGACAAGCGATATGCCGCAGAACAATAGAAAGCGCTATCGTTCTTATTAGGAGCATTACTTAACTTGTATATTACTAAATCTTCAAGGTACTTGTGATAGAATTGATGTCGTCGTCAAATCCAAACCAAAATGCTTAGTATCATCCTAAGCATCAAATTAAGCCGGCTAGTTAATCAGTTAGAGTTGCTATCTCATTAAGATTAAGCCTGCCCACTCTTAACTTCTTGTTCTTATCATACCTGATCAAGTTTTTCAATTCCTTTTTTGCACACCTTGCGGTTTCTATTTTTCTTTGAAAGTGAATCACCTCGGCGATGGGTGGGAGGAGGGGGAAAACATAAGAGCGAACGGAGATTTAAAAGCACGTGCATGGCGTGTATTGTGTAGAGGCGAGGATAAATTTCGTTATATAGTTTCCCTGCTTAGTCCTTATCATTTCCCAGTCAGTAGTAGACGTTAGCGATAGCCCATAGCGAGGGGAAAACACTAAAATAATTCTTTTTTCTTTAATTGTTATGTATATAATATAATAGTGATTCTCAGAGATACTGTGGAAGCATGGTGAGCGTGGGCTCCATACTTGCACCGTGACATCATCATATGTAAAATAAAGCTTTGTTTTTACTCTCACAAATTTAAAGAATAACTTTAGTAAGTGGACCCGATTGGGACCTTGGTTGGTACCCGTTAAACAAAGGGTGTCTGCTGAATGAAGGTTGTTTAAAAGTAATTAAAAATTCGGCCGTGCAACCAGCTATCCACTTAACAGGGGGTCAGCATATCGCCTGGGGGTAAGGGTGGGAAGATTTTCTCATTTACACTGAAATTATTTGAAAGTAATCCCCAAGCTATCTGTTATGAAATTCATGACCCCTCCTCCCCCCACCAATAAATGATTTTTTTTGTGACCACATTTGCTTCTTATTATGGGCGTGATTGATATAGTTCGGATTGTTTCAATTTAGATCTTCATCAGCATGTGCGTGTGTGGTTTCTTCATTCCTTTGACCTACCGCAGAGTAGCAATAACAAGATTGCTTTTAAAAATCCTACTTGGAAAAACTTACTACTCCTACCTTTTTCATATGATAGTTATGAGGCAATAACTCTCAGACAATAAACCAGGAATAAAGCTAATTGGTGCATAGAACTAGGATAGGCTTCGTTCAAGTTTCATTAATTGCGTTGGTTTAGTATGCCCATCGTTCCAAGGTACGTGAATATTTGATTGATCTTAAGATGAGTCATAAGATTAATAGTAAAATAAACTGTTTCCATAATCATCTGTGAACAGAGAAATGATTCATGGTCGTAGGAGTGTTTTGTTAGCTCTGCCGACGTAATGGTTTTTCAGAAAATTGCTCGGCCTTTGATCGGGTCCTTCGATCACGTGTTTTTGATTTATATAGTAATATTATATAGTGTTCAGTATGCACTGTAATATATATTTTAGAGACAGAGAGAGAGACAGAGAGAGAGAGAGATGCGAAACTTTGGTGATCTCTGAAAATTTAAATATATCAGAAATATACAACAACAACAACAACAACAAAAATTCATCATCGCTGATATATATTTTTCAAATAGCCAGTAGACTACCACATATTATAATTGCTTGACAGTTTTACATAATATTTATAATTCAATAAAAGGGCCAAAGTTCCTGCAAATGGCTCTGTGTGTATCTATAGTACATATATATCTGCCTATTGTTATAAAAATGTAGAATTACTTTTTCTGTGTATATATGTATTAATATTTATGTTTGTATCACGGCGAGTTCTTAAAAAAAGATTTGAAGCTTGCACTCTGTTTTGAATAGCAGTTCTTGAGTTCTTTGAATAGCAGGTGCTCTTAAATAAAACTAAAAACTCAACTGTTTTACCCAAATGCAAATTATAAAATCGTACTCTCACAGTCATTGAATGCGTCGTTCTACTTCGAGAAACGTGCTCAATCCTGCAGGCTACCTCGAGTCTCAATTTGCACGAACAGATTTATAGTCTCGGTCAGTTGTATGTCCATCTAGTACAGCTGTTTCTCGGTCGGTGTGTTGGCGGTAGTATCGTAGGTGTTTATTATGCATTTTTTTGAATGATTCTTTAAGTCTGTTTCGCACACTTTTACCAATCACGAGCTGTCTTGTACTACCTTAGCTAGCTCTCTGATAAATCTCAAATGAAGTTGTGGCTACCTCTTACAGCACAGGTCTGGCTATTGCTTATCGCGTGATGTTGCTCCTCGCAGTACTTCTCAATGGTAAGTTAAATCCTTTGATTAATCCGTCCAGTCTTGAGTGCTTTCCTTCTGTTTTTGTTCAATATATATTTTCAGAATCCTTAAAACCCATCATTTTTGGCTTAAGAAATTATTTGGTTTAGGATCGAAGCAAGGCAACTTTAGATGCCACGGCGTTGTAGCGTTGCATCTACTCACTTATGTATTCAAAAAAAACCCCATAAATTCAAAGTCTAAAGTGGACCGCTTTGAGTTATGCTAATCATAGTTAACGAGATCAGCCGGCGTTTGTGGTCAGTCCACCAAAAATAACTCGCCACGAACCCCTTGTATCTTGCTTCAAAGCAACAAATACATTTCGCCAATGAACCAGATTCATGCTATCAATAGTCTATCAGCATTCTATTTACCACGAAATGATTAAAAATGGATGGCTTTGCACGTCTGTGAGATAATAAGAGCAGAATAAAAACACAATATGGAAAACAATTAAGGAAACCAATGGCATATGAAGAAAAATATTTACAAGCTCTTCTTTCTTGATTCTCTTTTTGAAACGGCTTTGTTTTTGAATATGACAGCTTTGATTTAACATGAAGTATCTATTCTTAGCGGGATGAGTGTAAACACTTCTCACGGACACCAAAAGAAAACAAATTACATTAGAGCCTCTACGGACACCTCTATATTACGGACACCTCTATATTACGGACAACTATATATTACGGACACCTCTATATTACGGACACCTCTATATTACAGACACCTCTATATTACAGACACCTCTATATTACGGACACCTCTATATTACGGACACCTCTATATTACGGACACCTCTATATTACGGACACTTTTTTCTGGCATTTTGTGTCCGTATTATAGAGATTCTTTTAGCGTCTTTTAGCTAGGACAAAAAAAGATTAAATTGGTAATGGCTATGATCTGTTATTCTACTGCTAAAGTACTTGAAGTTAAAAAAAAAAAAGCTTAAATAGGATTAACAAACATTAGCAATTGCAAGGTGAATGGTTTTAGTTGATGGGATGTGTTCCACTTTTTATGTTACTATGGTCGCATATTTAATCCAACAATCAATCAGAATCTTTCATTAACGTTAAGTTAACCTAGTGAATAATTTATTGTTGAGAAGAGTAAATATAAGGATCAAATGTGGGATGAYGATTTAAGTCTAAGTACTTTTGCTTGATTAAAACTGTGACTGATAGCAAAAATAATTAAGGAAAGAAGAAGGCAATGACTGAATAAAGGATCGAATATATATAAAAAAGGAGAAGAAACTGCGAATTTATAAATGGATAAATAATTAGAAAGAAAGAAAGAAAGAGAGAAAGAAAGAAAGAAAGAAAAAAGAAAGAAAGAAAGAAAGAAAGAGAGAGAGAGAGAGAGAGAGAGAGAGAGAAAGAAAGAAATTTTAATTCGAAAACAATTTCAATTTCTTAAAAAAAACAATTCTTATTACAAGAAAGAAATTATTCAGGTACTCGATTTTTTAAACAACAAAGTTATCTTAATCGCACTCATAGATCACTCAAAACCCACGTGTACGAAGGAAATGAACCTTTTTATTGGTTGTTCTATAATGTACTTGTAATTATCCTCTGCTTATTTATGAATGATGTTATACATTAGCCTTTTTTAATGACTCCATTTAATCTTAATCATCTTACCTCGAGGTATTCCTTTGTGTTGTCAGCTTTGTGAAGTTTAATATATTTCTTCGTCGAACTGCCGTGCTTTCAAAATACGAATCAGAGATTGTCATATCCTAATTAAAAAATTAACCCGTCCCCATCTTTACCAAGATCAAATTCTGGTATTCTGTAGTTGACTTGAATGTAATGAAAATCTCAAAGGGTAAAAATGTTTGCGTATCGAAAAACACGTTTGTATGCCTGTAACATCTGTAACATGCTGAGAAATGTTGATTAAAATCTCGAAGAAATCACAACACGTTTGTAATACAACGGTAGGAATGTGTTTGTGAGGGGAGGGGAAGCGTCCTTGATGAGTCATTCCCTTGACTTTGGGGGTGAAGGTAGGGGGACAGGGATAGATGAATACGTAGAATGCACACAAATGTTTAGTATTTCAGAAATCATTGAAAATCGTTAACCACTTTGGTAATCTTCATGAAGGCGGTTACACAATATGTTGAATTTTTCCCACTTTGAATTGTCTTTGCACGGCTCCCTTGTGGTTAACCACCAGGGGATCTGCTTGTAATTGGCATATCAAACAGCGAACAAAATAATACGTTCAATTAGTTTAAACGTCGACTCCATTCCGTCCTCATAAGACTGTTTGGCCGGTGAAAATCAATATACAACACAGACGTCAATGTCGAATGGCATTCTTGGAATCCTTTTTTTCCCTGTCACTGCTGAGATGAACTTCTTAAGCTGGTCGTGCCTTGTGGAACATGATAAAGCAGTTGATAATGGTTGTGTCATTCTGTCTTCTAGTAATACCAGGTTCAGATATGATTATCTGTAAACTAAATGCTCCTTCTGGTGCTTCCAATGGAGTATGGCCTGGAAGTGTTATGGTATTGAACTGTACGATACTACAAGACGGCCCCGTTGAGTACATTACGTGGAAGAAAGATGGAGATGTTTTGAGGAACACAAGTATAGTTTCTCCTGGTCAATCTTTGTTGATGTGGGAAGCCCTGAAGCTAGAAGATTTGAGTGATAAGGATGATGGTCAATACAGCTGTGTAGCAGTCAAAGGAATCCACAGCCAAGAGGATTGGTACACCTTAAATATATTTGGTGAGTCAATGATACGAAAATAAAAAAATGATAGTGAATAAATAAAAGGAAGAGGGAACTGATGGATGGACGGACGGGGGAAGGATAGAGAATAGACGGATAGAGGATGGATGAATGGATGGATGGATGGATGG